TCAGGTTTTATTTATTAACCAATCAGAGCAACTTGACAGACCATCCCCCAGCACAGCCAAGTGCAGACCATCTCAAACACCTGCACTCAGGCCCATGGTCCTAATCATCCTCTATACGGACTTGCTGGGTAACGCCACAAAGAACCCAAGAAGGGCTCCCACAGGACAAACAGAACATCCCACAGCACTGTTCATTGAAAAGTTCCTTGCAGCAACCCTGAGCCAAACTTGGTCTGTGTACAGAGGGCACAGGATGAGCTCACACACCAGTGTGAGCATCTCTGTGGAGAGGGAACAGTTCTTTTCACAGTGGCAGCCCCCCACCCCCCAGGCTCACTCACCACCCAGGCCCGCTCCTTCGAGTGCAATTAAGCATCTCTCCACAGTAAACTCAGATCCCATGCTTGGCAGGATCCAGCAGAGCCCTGGCCGTGGCTGCCAACAGGAAGCACATGGCAAAGAAGCTTCTGAGCAGAGGGCCGAGAGGCAGGAGGAGGTGCCACAGTGCCGTTACAGTTCTTAAGAGGACACAGAGGGGAGAGAAAGCCACATAGGTTCTTGGCAGCTTCAAGTCCCAATTTGCATCTCATCTGGGAGTCATTTGCATGGGAAGTCCTATCTGTAGCTTTATGAAATAAAATAAAAAAAATGAATGGACGGGTGGAGTTGCTAAGCAGAGCCTCGTAAACTTGTGCTCCCTAAGAAGTTACTGCTTTGCTGGGAGTCTGCCTGAGTCCCTAGGAGCTGCTCATTGCAATGTTCCAGCAATGCTCTGGGTAGGCAGGGCAGGGTGGGGGAAGGGCAGACTTCAGGATCTAAGGTTCAGAGGAAACATGGGTCAGGTTCATGGTCAGAGCCTAGGAAGCCTGCAGCGCTGCTAGGGCCCAGTTTCTTTAGTCCTTTGGCACCATCTTGATAACAGGGGTAGCTTTCTGCTCCAAGGGCTTTCTCTCTCCTGAGCTCTGCTGGGCTTCAGAGCTGGCTCTGTGCTAACAGTGCTTCTCAATGCTGAGTGGGATAATCCTGGGTATCATACCCAGTGAGGGATCTTGGGTCCCACCCGAGAGATTATTGTAGGATGTTAGAGGTAGGAACCCAGATATCTCCAGCTGGCAGCAGAGGTATTGGGGAGCCACCCTCTGAGGAGCCTGCTCCCAGATGTGGGCAGCCAGAGCTAGTAAGATGCCAAGCGTCTCCTGCAGGGCGACAGTTACATATTCATCCCAAGCTTAGCCCCTCACCTGAGCTCATAGCATATCTTCCCCACAGTTTATGGAGAGAGTCAGTTGATTCCTTAAGATCATTGAGGGCTTGTGGGTCAGCAAGGATCTGCCCTAGGTCACTTAGCCACTAAGTAGGAAAGTAGAATTCATAATCTAGTTCTTCAGACTCAAAATCTCGCTGCATTTTCACAGGAAGCAGGGAGACTGTTCCTGAGCCCAGCAGGTTGGTTCATACTCACAGATGGTTTAACAGTGTTGGCCCAGCGACCCTGAAAGGACATCCAGCTTAAACTTTTTCTTTCTCTTAAGGGTCTCTTGCTTCCAATAATTGGTTTTCTCTCCTGTCTTCCAGGAACAGTCAGGAGCAGGGATGCACACAGTCCAGAGGGGCCCGAGCCCCAGAGCAAGAGCCAGGGCTCCTGTTCCAGGTCTAGAGCTCTCTTTATGGGTCCTGGTTGTCGCTGTTGCACAGCCCCGAGGTGCACAGGCTATCAGTGAGCCGTCTATAGAGCCTTCTAAGTCTGCTCGCCTTCCTCCACAGTGAGTTTCGGGGTGTTCCCCTCTACCCCACCATAGTGAGATCAAGGAAGACCCTCTTAACCCCCCTGCAAGAGGGTGCTCCCTTCTACCCCCTCTGCAATGAAGTCAAGGTGGTCCCCTCCAGACTCATCTACAGCGAGATCAGGGGCAGCCCTCTCCAGTCCAGAGTTGGAAGCAGGAGGCTGTGAACCATGTCCTCTGCACTTTTTCCATCTTGCAGCCTCCAGGGAGGTGGTGCAGAGGGAACAGAGTGCTTAGCTAGGTGGGGTTCCCCAATGAGGTGTCATCTGCTCATTCCATTGTGTTTTTGGCAGGGTGACAGCTGTACACATGATGGGGAGGTTTGGAGAAGTTGAGAAAGCGATGGAGTTTTGCCCAGATTTCTCAAAGCAGAACCTAGGGGCTCCATGTGAACCCTGTTCAGGATTCAGCCTCCTTGATGAGTCTGAGGAATGTCCTGGGGGAAGGAAGGAGAGACCTGGGAGAATGGCAAGACTCTGGCTTAATTGAGGCTAGGGAACAGAAGCAGAGGGCAGGTCCTGGATTGTTATGTTATCAGGACAATGCTGGGGAGGGCAGAGGGAGGGAGGAGGAAGGCTGGGGAGGGGAGAGGGAGAGAGGGAGGGAGGAGGAAGGCTGGGGAGGGAGAGTGGGAGAGAGGGAGGGAGGGAGGGAGGAGGAAGGCTGGGGAGGGGAGAGGGAGTAGGTTAGGGTGGTTTTGCTTAAAAAACAGAAAAGCAAGTAGGTCAGAAGACACTTGGATGCAATTCCATCACTGTTATCCACATCTGTGTGACCCCAGACAAGTGACCCAATCCCATTGGTCTTCAGTTTCCTCTTCTATAGAATTCCAGTTGGTCACAGGTAGACAAGAGTGAGACAGATGCTCAGGTGTCATGGCTCATAATTGTAGCCCTAGAATTTAGGAGGCTGAGGCAGGAGGATGGAAAATTCTGGCTCATTTCATGCTGCAGAACAAGGTCCAGATCAGCTCAAGTTATATAGCAGGATTCAGTCCCAATCCTCCTTCCATATTAAAAGATACACTGTGGACTAGAATCCCAGCTGGCTATCAGGAGCCAGTGTCTCTGATTATACTGAATTGAATGAGGGTTTAAACACACTGATACTGTTTTGGATCAAAATGATTATGATTTTCATTTCAAGAAATTGAATCTGGTTACCTGCTTTCTAGCGCTGTTGGTGGTGCTATGGATAATATGATAGGCCTGTATGGCTCAAGGTTTTGTTTGCTAACATTGGAGGCCTGAGAAAAATGAAGAAATCAGAAACTGGTTTTCCTTCACACCTCCTTCTTAAATGTATTTATTACATGTATGTATGTGTGTGTGTGTGCATGCATACATGCTCCTCGTTCATGTGTGGAGGTCAGAGGTCAACGCGCTGAAGTGAATTCTCTCCTTCCACCTTCTGATGAGTTCCAGGGATAGAGCTCGGGTTCCCAGGCTTACCACCCACCTCCACCTCATCCATCACTTCATTTCATTTTCGACACAGCTTTATCCAAATGAGTTTATGTATCATGCAAATCATGGTACAATTCAGTGGCTTTTAGCATATTTACAGAACTGTGCAAGCATCACCCCAACCATCTTCAGAACGTGACTGTGAGTGACTGTCACTCCGGAAAAGCCTCATCCCCTTTTGCTATCACTCCCTAGTTCGTGTGCACTTCCTGTGTCTGTAAATGTGCCAACTTAACATACTTCTTGCTTACTTACACTGCTTCTATGATTAAAAACAAAAACACCTCGACGAAAACAGCTTGATGAAGGAAGAAAAGGCTTATTTATTTCTTCAAATCTAATTTTTTATTGAAAATTTTATGGATGTTTACATGGGTGGAGGATAAAGGGATTATTTTACTCACAGTAGGTACAGTCCATTATCACAGGGAATCAAGGTGGCAAGAGCTTGAAACACACTGCATCCATATTCAGGGAGAAGAGAGTAGTGGATGCTGGTAGTTAACTCACTAGTTCCTTTTCGTCAGCCCAAGACCCAAGCCAGAGAGTGGTACCACCTACTATGAAGGTGAGGCTCCCCACCTTAACTAATCAGGATGGTCCCTCACTGGCATGGACAGAGATTAACCTCGTGTTGATAATCCAGCTTCTTCCACTTGCATGATATTTTCAGAGTTCATCCATGTTGAGCACCCCATTCCCTTCTGTGGTAGAAGTGTTTTCTAGTGTGTGGACGTCCACATTTTATCCATTCGTCAGTTCAAAAGATGTCCTATAGGTATTTGAGATTCTCCCCATTTTGAGCTATATGAATGATGTTCCTGTAAATCCTCACACACATACAGATTTTAGGCAGACATCCCTTCCGTATCCTCTTGGGTATATGCCTAGGAGTAGAATTTCCCCATCCCGAGATCACTCTGTGTATGATCATTTGGAGAACTCCAGGCTCTTTGCCAAAGTGGCTGCCCCGTTTTGCTTTCTTGTTCATGTGCGAGCATTCTATCTCCACAGTGCTCTTCTGTGGTTTTGATTAGTGTTCTCCTAGGTGTTAATGATGATGAGCACCCTTCTATGTGCTTATGGGCCATCTGTGATCTTCTTTGAGGATCAGTCTACTCAGATCTTCTGCCCATTTTTAATTGAGTTATCTCTCTCTCTTTATTAAGCTATAAGGGTTCTTTGTGTATTCTAGATACAGTTCCTTGTTGGCTACATAGTTGACCAGTCTATTTTCTTTTGAGTTGGTTGTTGACTTACTTTCTTGATGGTGTCCTTTGAAGTGAGACATCTGAATGTGAATGTTAAAAAAAAAATTGTCAGTTTTAATTACACTGAAACCTCATTAATTTAGACTCTAGCAATTTGGAGTTGGTTAGGGCAGAGGGTCAGAGTCTATTTTCTCGACAAATAGTTATTGAGACTGTCTGTAGTCAGAGATTGTGGCGAGCCCTGGGGACAGAGAGGTGAATAGGGCAGAGCCTGCACAGCCCACAGTCTGTAGTAAGAAGCATACTGTCACACCATCCCAGACAGTGGGCAGATCTCTGGCAGCACAG